CCCCGCGCAAGATTTTGGGTTCGAGTCAATCCCACTACTGTAAGTGAAGTATATTAGTAAAATTCACTTCGTTAGGGATTTGTTTTCCGAGGTTATCAAAGTACATAATACACCATAAAAGAAAAAAAAAAAATGGGATTTTGCACAAGAACTTTTAATTTATGGCAAATGAGACTAAATTTAAAAATTCATTGCAATTGTGGTCCGATTTATGGTGCATTGGTACAAATTTCCGAAAAGAAAATAGAAATAACTCGAGCTAAAAATTCTTCTTACTCGGACTGCTTTAGCAAACTGGTTTATTATATCAGGGATTTCTGCCTTGAGCCGTTTATTACTCATTGTCCTGAACCCCACAGCAAGATCATTTTGGCCAATATCAAACGTGTAAAGAGCCTTTGAGAAGTCCTCTGGTCTAGGAAGAACTGTTCTTTCTGAGCCTTTATTGTCTGCAAATATCAAAAAAAAAAAAAAAAATTTCCATGAACAAATATTATATCACACATAAGACAACAACACTTTTAAAGAAACAATTCTGAACAACATGGTGATTTTGGTAGATGATATGAAATAACCTTGTTTGTAATGCCAACTTGTGCGTTTCTTGAACTGGGTATACTGCAAAACTTGGATATCAAGAGGAAATGGGCTCACACCATTAAGAAATACGGATTCATTTTGACGCCTTATGGTCGATCCTCCTGTGGCAAAATTGGCACCATGACTGAAGTTGGCTCCAACCGAGTCCAAGTATGGGCTCAAGAACGGCAGTCCAAGGTGATTTGCTGCATAATAAATGCAACAACTATTTAGAACTGTTACATATCATTTAAATCTTGATAATGTAAGTAGAAAATTTTCGCAGGAAAAAAGAGGTGTTGAAGTTCAAATTTGTCAGTTACCAACAAGATCAATCATTAGGCGACCATCACAGCCCCTTCCAACTGGTCTATGGAAGAAAGTTTCACCGCATGGAGAAATCACAGGGTAAAATGCAGCTGATATGCCACCAGTGTCCGAGTTCGAGTCGCCAAAGTTGTAAATTGCGGGGAAGTAGCAAGGAAATTTTTCTGTGACTTGTTCTTCACCCACAATGCTCAAAACCCAACTAGCTAAAATGCTTGATAAAAATAAACCGGTAGTAATCTTCATTTTCACTCTTCTCATGACTAGAGTGTCCTGTCCCATTTATATTTCTTTGAAGTGTGTATATCTAAGACATCCCAAGACAAAAAACAATGAAAAGATATGATCATGAATTCATGATAAAAAAATAAATAAAAAAATAAAAAAGGAGGGGGGGTGTGACTTCTTGATTTGTTAATTTTCTTTTATCACTGTGACTGATATACAAGTGTTGTCCTTTTATCTTCTTTTTTATCTTTTTTCTCTTTTGGGGTAAATACAACCTAGCTAGCTGTACTTTCTTTGTTCTTTTCTTTCATCTTCTGTTGTAAACATCAACACTTGCCTACTATACAAGGCATGTCCTTAAATTTCACATATTTCCTAGTTGCATAGTGAACCGTGTAACCCCAAGTTGTCAACTTTGCAGATTCAATATTGCCTAACTAGCATTGCTATGCCGCTCCGGGGAGCCCTGACATCTAATACTAGTGGGGTCCACTTGTATTGGTTGTGAGCTTGGGGCCATGGAGTCACGTTTTTTCATTGTGGCTCAGTCTACTAGACACATTTGTTTTAATCAATATCTTGAGTTCATAAATTTAAAATTATTTTTAATTTATGTGTATTTTTTTTTTAAAAAAATATTATAATAAATTATAATTTATAATTTAAATTATGATACGAATTCACCAACTAAACGCATTAGTAAATGCATTAAGCATATGAACACAAGATATGAGAACATTTGAGTCTATGACTGTTGACCAACCAACCTTAATGCTACAACATATTCACTTAAAAGCGCCCGTTTGTTCCATATAGTCAAACTCAATCAATAATTCTGTTATAGTATTCTTCTCTCATAAAAAATTTAAATTTTAAACGTTAAAATTAAGAATCATAGTTTGACCATACCTTCAAAATGGGCCCTAAATGATTATGATCAGTTGTACAGATTCCTTTCTCTCAATCACATAGGTTGGTTCTAAACTGGACCTAATCTTTCTTGGTAAACAAAAACAAGTTTCAAGATCTTGGTTCGTCCCAAATCTTGATCACGTGTTAAATGTCCTCCTAATACAATGTATTAACTCTTATTCAATTAGGACTTCATGCGGTTGAAGCTACCAGCCAACTTATTTGATTCATTGTACTCGTAGAAAATGTCTTACTTCCCTTAAAAACAGAAAAAACAAATGATGACATTATAGGTATCTACACTTTTTGAGTTTGTAAAAAAATTGGTCTAGTCTAATTTAATGAGAGAAAAAAATTCACGTATTAAAATTTTAAACTGTGTTTAAAACCCAAGATTTTATCACGTGAAGTTTTGACACATTCGGAGTGAATTAGAGGAATATTACTTCGGGGGGTATTTGGTATGTGGTCGTTAGCACGAATCATATGACTTCGATTCACAATTTAAACCACCTAAAAATGGCGTGATGATTATGCTTTTGTTTACCACAATTTAATTCTTTTTGTCTCATTATTTTCTCTAGCAAAAATATGAAAAGAAATTTGAGTCAGTTACATATATGTCCATTTTGCAATTGATGAAAAAAAAAAAATGTCTAAATGTTTGCATATAAGCCTGTGAAATCATATGCATTGATATTTTTATCTTTTTGTTAACTATCTTTAAAATTAGTTATACAAATTCATAACCACTCACACAGAAAAAAAGAATATATTCATAACATAGGAAAAAAAAAAAACTGTAATAGGCCTGATTTAAACAGACCAGACCATGGGCTCTCCAATTAACGGGCTCTGGGCCCAAAACACACAACAAGGGTGCGTCCCAAGGCCCGCCTTCGTCGTCTCGCCTATGCTCTCTCTCTCGCCGCCTTTCAGCGGCATTCACAGGGAGAGAGAGAGAGAGAGAGAGAGAGAGAGAGAGAGAGAGACAGCTTGGAGAGAAGCGCTGAAGGAGCTCCGGCACTGACAATTCCATGGCGACGACGGAAAAGAAGGCTGAGAAGAAGGAAGGGACAAACCTTCTGGGCTCTCCGACATTCAAGGAGCTCGAAAATGGCCGCTTCAGGTGCGTGGAGACCGGCCACGAAGTTCTTCACAAGGACAAGGATTCCTACTCCCTCAGCAAACGGTGTCGTTTGGGCCTCATCGATTTCGCCCTCTCCCACAACAAGCCCCCTCTCAACATGTTCAAGCCAGACCCTTTGTCTCGGTCGCTACTAAACTTTTCAATTCCACAAACTTTTTCACTTTTTGGATTGATTTTGTGTTGAATTTTTGGTTTGAGAAAACTATAAGTAAAGTTATCGACTTTAATCCCTTATTACAGTTCGAAGCTGGTATGCAAGTTAACTGGAGATACCATTAACAAGTCCGAGGAACATATCTGGAAACATATTAATGGGAAACGCTTCCTCAACAAACTAGGTTTGTGGCATTGTAAAATTCGAATCTTTTTGTTTCCCGTTTTGAACTTGGCGTGTGAATTTTGTTGGGGAATCGTGATTTTCTGCTAATATGTATGGATTTTGATTTGTGTCCAAAATGTGGATAGTGATGATGTTCTTGTCCATTTTCTTGTAAAAAGAGGAAAAGGAAACACAAAAGCAAACGCCAAACGGGATGGTAGAAGAAGAGGGTGAGGAGATGGGGCAAAAAGTGAGTAAGCGTGGTAAGGATGTTGTGAAGAAGGAGAAGAAGAAGAAGAAGAAGAAGATGCAGGAAGAAAAGCCGGTTGAAGAGATTATCTCTGAAGTGAGGCAGTCTGCTGCTAATGAGGAAAGTGATTCGGAAGAGGCTGATTTTTGGATGCCTCCTGCGGGAGAGCGCTGGGACTTCGATGATGGTGGGGACAGATGGGGTTCCGCTTCGGAGTCGGATCGGGAAAGTGATGAGGCTAATGGAACTGGTGAGATTTGCATTCACTTTGAGCTGAGGCTTTCAAAACTTTGTCTGCTTTTGTTTCGTTTTCTAGTTTGTGATGTAGGATCAGCAGCTGTAACTGTTGGTATTTATCTCGTCTCTTCAGTCCTTAGTCCTTAGTTTCTAAAAAGTGTACTTGATGGTAATTCTTGGTGTATTTTGTGCATATAGGGTGTGAAGAAGGATGATCTTATGTCACTTTTTTTTTTTTGCCAATTTTATCCAGGGTTTAGTTTCATATCCTTGCATCTAGTGTCCTATAGGATTTAGGGATTGCCACTAGCAAAGGTTGTGCATGATTTTCATTTTGGACTGTCATTTTGTTTTTGTCCTGATGAATTACAACACTAAGTGGACGTGTAGTTCATGGATTCAGAACCATTCTCGTTTTACGTGTGTTTTTTGTGAGAGGAAAACACTGTAGAAAACCATGAACTATGATTCAGAATCAGTGATGAATACAGAAAACAAACATCTCTAAATTAGCAAAAATGCAGTACTTTGATCTGCATGATTTTGGAGGTTATATTGTTTTACTTGTGTTGTATGTGTCAAAAACTGGTTCAAAAATATAGCATTTATCCAAGTTCCTTTTGAATGTGGCATATTAAATCCTGTATTTAATCCTGCCATGCATTTTATGGTAATTTTGTACTCCAGATGCTGCAGTTGAAAATGGTGGTGAGGAGTCGGACGAGCTTTCAACACGGTATGCTGCTTCTCCATTATAGTGTGTTGCATTAGTAGTAGGCCTTCAGTATGGATTTTGGGTTTATATTAGTTGGCACAGGATATTCTATTTCCCTTGTCCACTTACCTGTTCTTATGCTTTGCAGAACCAAAAGAATGTCTATCATAATCGGACCAAGCAGCTTTGCCTCAAGAAAGAAGAAGATTAAAAAGAATACCGAGTCTTGACCCTTGCTGTTGAACTTGGCTTTGGTGCTTGGAGTTCTCATCTATAACCAACCTCTGTTACTATGGCGTGTAATGGTACTCATTTAGTCCATAGCTCGTTCAGTACCCAAAGAGTGATACAATTTTGGATCAGGAACAGAAGATTTTCTCGATGTAGTATTTTCCTAGTTTAGGCGTGCGTTTCTTATGTACACTTAAGTGTGAAATTAGTTCTTTCATTTCATATGAAAAGATGCATCAATCTGATAATATATATATATATACCAAAGCATTTTATGCCTGGATGCTTTATACATGCACACGAGAGGGATAACTCAATTCACAATTACAGCAGCCACAGCCTATGAGTTTAATAATTATATTTGCATCCTGTAATATACCAAATCACTATCAGTTGATATCACAGAAATAACCTGAACACTTATTTGGGACAGGCTATCGTCTAAGATAATGACCTCATGTTTAGGCCAGAGAATGCTAATAACTATAATTCAGGCGTTGAAAGATGTTAATACAAGACTAGTTGAAATTTATCAAACAATTGCCGATTACTTTTTACTTATATTAATTACAAAACAATTCAGCCCATAGGTCCCCCCAAAAAAATATGAAAGAAAAATCCCCAGGACCCCAGTTATAAGGTAAGCTATATGATTTAATGGTTATTAATGTATACAGCAGCATCTTGTAGTTGGCAGATACCGCAAAATGATTGCCTCTGAATCTCTGTATGTTGTATTGTCTCATATGGAGGAAGCTAACAGGACATGCTCAGGCTTCATTTTGTCCAGATATTCTCTTCTAGGTAGATGGAGTGCTAAGAGCAGCAGATGCCTAGAAGACAGAGAAACACAAGCCAAAGCAGAAAATTTAAGCGGTATAATTATTCCGCATACAACTACAAGTAACAAAGTCGCCCATCTCAGTACCACTCTCTCAAGCACACTTAACTTCGGAGTTCTGATGGGATGAGGTGCGTTGTATTAGTTCTGGTTGATCTCAAAAGTGAAACGTAAACAAATTTAGAAAATTTCTAAGAGACTAGTGAGTTTTTAAATTTTAGGATCCCACGGATGACTTTAACTTGTGCACAAGTATGAAATATCTTAAAACCGAAGAAATTTGGCCCAATATGGTATACCTGAGAACCAAAGCAAATTCACACTAGCGCCAGCCCCTCATCCCACAACTTCTTCCTAGCAATCAAAACTCTTTCTTCACCTGATGAAAGAGCATCAACTGTTGGTTCTACTTCAGATAACCAACCATCCCACCTTAATGCAGTAATAAATTTTCGAATATAGTTTATAATTGAGGGTTTATCTCTTATGATGACGAATCCATCTGGTCGCAGGATCCGATCCATTTCTATTAATAAATCCTCCATGCCACATCCACGCTCATCAATATCTGAAAATACTGCCCATGCATGCAGCATATCATAGGTACGTGGGTATGTGGAAAATGATTCACACCTGTTAAGTACACATGTGAATATAAATTTATAATCAGATCTCCGGGACAAGAAAAATAGCAGCAAAGAAAAAAAAAAGTTATGCTTACTTGTCAGCTTAAGAAAATTAACTAACGTAAAGGTTAGTTACCAAAAAAATAAAGCGCAAACTAGGGGTATTCGCGGATCGGATTGTGCGGATTGGGGATCAATCCAAAATCCACTCCGTTACTGTGGATTGAAAAAATCTCAATCCGTTACCAATCCTTTAGACCCCCAATCCAATCCAACCCGCAACGGATTCTACGAATTGAATTATGCGGATTCACGGATTAGGCTGCTTTTTGGACCTTGACTCTTGTCCATCTCTTTTTCCAATATTCTCATAAAATTGATAACAAAATTAAACACAAACATAACATAACATAAAATTAAAATAGTATTGAGATTCCATACATAATTACACATATACTTAAATTATATTACATTATGTAATTGAAAAAAAAAAAATCTGTTACATATGTTATTTAAACATATATAGAAAAATATATAATATATATAGTGCGGATTGGTGGATTATGCGGATTGAGAAATGCTCAATCCACAATCCAATCTGTTATTGCAAATTGGGAAAATCTCAATCCATCACTAATCCAAAATTCTTTCAATCCAATCGCATTAACAGATTGGATTATGCGGATTGGTCGGATTGGCATATTCGATGAACACTCCTAGCACAAAATGCATTAATTTAAGGAAATCTATATCTCCTTCTCATCAAAACAACTAGAGACATAAAACTTAACCCTCAGGGTAGGATACAAGACAAGTTTTATGAGGGATACAGCAAGTTCATTTCATAGTCCCGAAATGTGAATGAGATCGTCCCAATAACAGATTCCAACATTTGTCAGGTTCTATTTTTTGGACCTAACATGATTAACTTTCGTGCTTGACACTTAACACAAGTGCAAATAAAGTTTCATACCAGTCATTTTTTAAGGGGGGGGAGGGAGGAAATTCATACCAGTCATGTACAGTTCCAATCAAGCCTCGGTCATATATAATCTTCACTTTTGCAGACGCATGGACAGGGGCAACATTCATCACCCAGACATCTCTATCACGTAAGCCAGCAGCAAACCCACCAAGGTTTGAGTTCATATCCATAACATTTCTGATAGAGTTTTTCTGTACCACGGACTTCATTTGCTTCCAGTACTCAATACCTCGAAAATGCCATATCCTCTAGACCAAATGAAAAACTCAAGCAGTTAACATACAGAAAGAAGAGGAAGAGGTTTAAAAAAAATGCAAATTTCAAAAAACTTACAGTGTCTTCCATGAATTCCTCGCGACTAACACCAATATCTTCCAGCCGAGGAGGTGCTGTAAAAAGCCTCTGAGGCCAAGCAACTAGTCCACTACCTTTATCCTTGTGCATCCCTGTTTCACAATTTAAGCAGCAAAAGAAAGTTCAAAAAGTAAATCCAGCTCCAGCATCAAGTTAACCAAAGATAATACGCTTCAACAAACTGAACAGGGAAAAATAATGTCTGACTAGCACTTTCCAGACAAAATGAGGACAACGTCATGCTCCCATTAGAGTATAAGTTGGAAAAACCAAGAAGCCCACGCAAAGAAAAGTTACAGTGCTCCAAATTCATCTGGATCTTGATATTTAATGACATGAACACAGAACCAAAAAGTGTAACTCCTACTTCTGCATCTAATTGCTTTAGATTCTTTTCTTTTTTTTTTCCTTTCTTTTGGAGGCAAACACGCTAGAAACATTATATATATATATATATATATATATATATATATATGTATGTATGTATGTATGTATGTATGTATGTATATATATATATATCCCAATCTCAGAGATAACTTCTATTAATAGAGGTAATGGATTATTCCCCTCATGTTGAACAAACCAGAACTCGCCTCATAGTAAATTGTCACATATACTTGTTTATAACTACGGAGTTGTGACATGTACATAATACATATTTAACAAAGGCAATAATTTCATGCATAACCAAAAAAGATAGTTCATCGAAAAATTAACAACAAATTTGATTATTAACAAATGGAAATCATAAGATTGCCGCTTACTTGCAGAGTACCGAGAAATACAAGACCTCATGCTCACATTCCAAGTTGCATCTGGATCATCATCAGTACTACAAAGAGGGGGGTAAGTTTCAGGATCTCTCTTCAAGTAACAACTATTTGAAAGTGGCTTTGCCCATATAACACTCTGGTCTTTCTTTGCAGCAACTCTCCAGCACATCCGCTTCAAAAGATCGGACATAGCAGTCCAAATCCTCCGGTTTTCAGGATCACTTGCATATGCTTCAGGAGAGCTATACACAAAATAGCCTCCTGGTCTAAGCAACCTATCAAGTTCTAATAAGAGAATCCCCCCTCTTTGAAGCCAATCAATACGGCACCGTGAACAATGAGCCAGTTCAAACGATCTGCTTGGATAAGGAAGCCTTTTTGTGGCCAAGATTCCTAGAGTTGCTGGAATCCCCCTCTCTAGTGCAAATTGTATTTGATTCTCGTGTACATCATTAGGTGCAAGGGACATAGCTATAATGTCGTGGGGAAGTAGATAGGCTCCAAAACTTGCAACTCCACAGCCCACATCCAAAACATTTCTGATATTTCCATTATTATTGAGTCTTTCACCAGGGAATTTAAGCATCTATATAAACAATAGGAATTCAAAATAAAACAAGTAAGGCTCAGTAATAATATGGAGCATTACTTGTTGACAAGTGAGAAAAACGTAGGAAAGACATAATATTTCAGAAGCCAGTTGTCTCAAAAGTTTTTCTCATCCAGATATATTATTTTTTTCATATTTATTCCAAAAAAAGGTCAGAAAAATGGGGACACAGAGATGAGAATCAGGTAAAAGAATTTACACGAGCAAGAGCAGCAATATATTTATCAGCTCCATAGTGGAAATGCGTCCCTCCACCAGGAAAATTTATCTTGTCCCCATTCACAACCATCCAATTCTGATCTGATTTCTCCTGTGCAAGATGCGTGTGGGGGATGTTGGCCTTCCACACTTCATCTCTGCTTGCTGGCCACCTTATGGGTATCTGAAATTCTAGCAATAATTTTTTTCCCGAATCAAAACTAACCAAGGCAAACCTAAAACAAAGTTTCACATAAGAAGCAACCGCAACCAACCTTGTAACCAATTGGAGGTGGTATCAAGCAATTATAGCGACGCTTCGGGGGCGGGCAATGCCGTTCATAATGCTCCATCAACGCCACGTTGGGCTTCAGTCTCATTTGGTAAATAAGGTTTCTATCTAAACAAGGTATCAACTCTGAAAGTTTTATATCACATATCTGCCAAAAAGAACAAAGCCAACAACCCCTTTAGCGAAATAACATATATAAGTAGCAAAAGGTTCAATAAATACATTCCTTTAGTGTGCGTTAAATTATATGAACAACAGACTGACGACACTTAAACAGTTAAGACTAAAAAAGGTTCGATTGCCCGTAAGGAACAAGTTAAATATCTTCTTTAAAAAATCCTTTTTTTCAACTTGAACTCTGCCCAATCCATGCAATATAATTCAACTAATTCCATCCGGAGCAACCGCTTTATTAAAACCTCAAATTTACTAACAAATCACTCAATTTCTTGAAATTCTCTAAAACAAAAAATAATACTAAGAATTCAGCAGGTCGCCCTGATTGCGTGCCTGGGATTGACCTGTTTGTACTACGGCTCGTCATTTGCTCCGAGCACCCGGAGATCTGACGACGGAGCATCTGCCTCCGATGGATCCGACCCGGTGCTCGACGGGTTCGTCCGCCACAGGGATTTCGACGATTTGCATGAGGATCAGGACCGCAATCCCGAGGTTCCCAAAAGCATACCTGTACGTAACGCATTGTTTGTAAATGTTGTTTTATTTTAGTGAAAAGTTGTAATCTTGGCTAACGACACTAACGAATTGTAGAAAGAAAAATCTGTTTTGACAGCAGGAAAAATAATAATAATAATAATTATTATTATTATTATTAATTACTGATTCAAAACAGATTTTTCTTTCTACAATTCGTTAGTGTCGTTAGCCAAGATTACAACTTTTCACTAAAATAAAACAACATTTACAAACAATGCGTTACGTACAGGTATGCTTTTGGGAACCTCGGGATTGCGGTCCTGATCCTCATGCAAATCGTCGAAATCCCTGTGGCGGACGAACCCGTCGAGCACCGGGTCGGATCCATCGGAGGCAGATGCTCCGTCGTCAGATCTCCGGGTGCTCGGAGCAAATGACGAGCCGTAGTACAAACAGGTCAATCCCAGGCACGCAATCAGGGCGACCAAGAAGCACTTCACTTCCTTAGCACCGGCGGAATTGCTTTTGTGCTCGTTCTTGTGCTTCATCTCTTCTTCTTCTTCTTTGACACTGAGTCACTCACCGATCCGATTCCGACCCGTATTTCTATGAATCTTTCAGAACCAGGAAAGAAGCTTAAAACCCTACTGTCCGATCTGGTGTGGGAGTGGATTAGTGAGAGAGAGAAGAGCGAGCGATAGAGAGAGAGGAGAGTGTTTAGAGGCGCCACATTTGGCTCTTCGCGCGATGGAAATGAGGGACAAATCATGTACGGTCATGGATATTTTTCTTAAGCTTACACCCGTTAGAATCTGGACGTGTTTTTTGGTCGCCCTTGAATCTGTTGTATGCCAAAAATACCCTTTTGATGCATCTTTTCTATATAGATGTTTAGGGTGTAAGAATTTGAGCCGACTAACCTGTCGAACCTAACCTAATCCTACTCGAATTTTGTGTGTGTGTGTGTGTGTTTTAATTTTTCATATTCAAATAAACCCAACCCACACATTACGGGTTGGGCCGTGGGGCGGGCTTTCTTTGGCCCGATACTCCCCGACCTGGTCGGGTGAGATCAATGAGAAAAAAACTCTAAATGCCATTGACTCAGTGATATCTCACGCTCACCTCTCTATCTCGCACCATTAGCATCTCTCCAAGTCCTCAGCCTCTCTCTACGTCTCTCTCACTTCTCGGTCTCTCTCTCTGTTGGCCTCGCCGTCCCTACTCCCTCGACATCCTTACTCCCTCGTCGTTTCTTCTTAGAAGGAGAGCCAAAGGCTCTCAGGCTCACCCTTTTTCTCTCTCACTACTCAAAATGCTCGAAGGAAGCAATGCAAGATTTTCTTGCACATGGGTCCCAAAAATAGTGGCAAAACTCACCATGCTCTGAAGAGACTTGAGTCAATTGCTTCCGGTAGTTTAATACATAACAATGGAGTTGGTTTTGATAAACGGAAGGGAGAGTAATGATGCGAAAAAAAACTAGTAAGATTGTTTGCTTATTTTGCTTTTTTACAGGAATGTATTGTGCTCCTTTGAGATTGTTGGCTTGGGAGGTGGCTAAACGATTAAACAAGGTAAAAGTTCCCTGTGATCTACTTACCGGACAGGAGAGAGAGGAAATTGAGGGTGCAAATATGTTTCAGATGTTGTTTTTGGACACAGGCCCAATGTCTAGGCCCAAGCTGACCAATCTGAGTAACCCAAGCCTACCCGAGGTCACCCAACGGGATACGAGTTTGTAGGCTTAAGAAGATGTTGCGGCCCAAAATTTTCTCAATCCACACTGTGCGGCTCGGCCCAACCCGAGCTTACCCGGTTGAATTACACCCCTATAGATGTTCATCCCATCCGCATAATCCAATCAATTACTGTGAATTGGATTAGATTGAAAGAGTTAAGGACTCGTTTGTCTTATGTATTTTAACCTATAGTTTTGATTCTGTATTTCTGTTAGTGTTTTTTTTTATTTATAAAAATTTGAATTTCAAATGTAAAAATTAAGAATCACTAGTTTAAACGCATGAACCAAATGTGCTCTTAGATTAGTAATTGATTGAGATTTTTCTAATCCACAATATCAGACTAGATTACGGATTGAATATTTTTCATTATGTATAATTCGCCAACCCGAACTATATTTTATATATATATATATAAATAGTTTTTTTTATAAACACTCCATTAACTTTTTAAATTTGACAATTTAATTCTTATTATGTTCTTTTTGATAATTGATCCCTTTAACTTAAAAAATCTTTTCAATTAGGACCCAATCGAAAACGACTTCTGTTTTTTTAATGAATCTAATCACGCGGCACTCACGTGAACATCTGTTGAGGATAATGAATGTAATTTCTCACATAATTTATTCGATTATATTGATATCAATGTCATTAATGTGCTTGAATATAATAAGTTATGATAAACAATTCTTAATTTTTAAAGGTTATTTTTCTGTTGAGACACTCCAAAGATTGAGAAATAACTTTTATTACCCTAAGTCTCACTTACGTGGGCGTCATGTGATTAAAAATGTGAAAAATTAGATGTCGTTTCTAATTGGACATTAATTGTGAAGACTTTTAAGTCACGGGAATCCTCCAAAGATTGAGAAATAACTTTTATTACCCTAAGTCTCACTTACGTGGGCGTCATGTGATTAAAAATGTGAAAAATTAGATGTCGTTTCTAATTGGACATTAATTGTGAAGACTTTTAAGTCACGGGAATCATGAGGTTTTTCAGAGCTCCATCCAACTATAAAACTCTTGGTGGCAGAGTGCGTGGTTTTGGAATAGTTATTAGTTTCGTTTAATTTACTGATATGAGTTTTTAATTTGAGTTAATATGTGATTTTATGTGAAATTTTTTTATTATAATAAAAAATTTAAATGTGATTATTTTTTTTAATTTTTTACTGTAATAAAATTTAAATCAGTGAAATGAATGAGACATTGTAATTCCACTTTGGAATATTGTGCTGATTTGTTGGGAATCCGATCCAGGCTTTGTGGCGTGGCTCAAGTCATGGTCACGGGGTAAGGGACCAAGGCAAAGACTATTCACGTGACTATATATAACATCAAGATTAAACCGCGTTTCCCTTTCCACAATTCACGTGACTAATAAGCAAAAAGTCTTAAACGGCGTTTGCTCTTTTCTTGGCATTTAATCATTCATTGGAGAATTTGGGGAGTTTAAAAAAAAAAGGAAAAACAAACAATAGAAAAGAAAAAAGCAAGAGACTTTTCCGGGCAACAGAATATGAAAACAAATCTCTTTTTTTGAAGCACAAAAATAAATACTAGGTGCTCAATTATTATAATTCTTAAATCAAATTGATATTTAAATAATATATTAAAAAGAAAATTAAAGGAATCCGAGTTAATTAATCCAAATAATAATACTGTCTACAAACGACAAACAAAAATCAACAACCTACGTAACTACTACTTACGTGCTACACAGTATAGTCTTGATCCAGGGTCTATGAATCTCCTTTGTTAAGAGCTCGTTTACTTTTTGATTTGAGTTTTTAATTTGAATTGAGATGTGATTTTATGTGAAAATTTTTTATTATAACAAAAAAATTAGATGTGACTGTTTCTGAGAGTTTTTTACTGTAAAAAAACTTAAATTTTAAATTCAAATTGATAAAATAAAAGAGACTTAAAGAAACTCTCTATTTGCTTCAACTCAAAACAAAATATATACACACACATGTATATATCGTGTATATATATATATTTTTGCATTTATAAGCTAGTTTAGGCAGAATCTCGCAAAATCAGCAAAACCACCATTAAAAAGTTGTTCGTGGTATAAGGGAAATCTCAAAATATTAAAAAGCAATCAAATCATAAAATATTAATTCATCCCTTGAAAATATTATATAACGCAATGTTTAGTAGTAATTAAACGGTAATTCCACACTAAATTACACATCTAAATTCAAAAAAATATATTAATATATATAACAATAATGCACACCCTGCTCAATTATTAACCGTCGTTTTGCACGAGAATTGGGGGCAAAAACAAAAGACAAAACAAAAAACAAATTGATGGGTGACGGTGGATAGCAACACATATACAACCAAAGTGCCAAACAAGAGAGGATCAGACCATAATAAATGGCTTTATCCATACAAATACAAACATATATGAATGGATCTTGTAACGCATATTCAATTTTAGTGGTCCCAAAAGTTAAAGTAACGTGAACCCAAATTAATCCCAAGCGTGTTCTTTCTTAATCATTCTTTTATTTATTTTATGAGAGCTTTGAAAAAAAAAAAAAATTGCCGGTCGTTTTTATTTTATCTGTATTAAAAGTTATTTATTTTATATACTTTTTAATTTAATATAATTTTAACTTAATTTATCAATTAAAAATTGACACTGATAAGAAAGCCTATAGAAAAACTCAGCAACTCTATTATTTTTATCGTGTTTAGAATTATTCTTATTTTTATTTTTTAAGTTTTAAAAAGAAAATGAAAACGATTTTAAAACGACGTTTGACACAATTAAAGACAAAAAAAGAAATGAAAATAGTTTTTTAATTTAGTGTAAAATGAGAGAGAAATGAAAAACGTCTTTTAGTTATTTTTCATTTTTTGTTTTTATTTTCTCCTCTCTCGAGCACAAAGAGAGACATTAGTGAGTTTTTTTATAGTAAAAATAATCTCTTAATAAAACAACAAAATATATTTTTAAAAAAAATTTCTGTTTAAAATTAAAAATATTTTCATTTCTATTTTCATATAAAAAATAAAATTATTTTAAAATAAATTTTAAACACACTTTTTATTTTCCCTTGCACGAAGTATATTTTGATGCCTCTGAAAAAGGACGCCAAAGAAATGATTGCACGTTTGTTAGGCACCAATCCATGTGGCGAAGTCACCCTACTTTCTTTGAATGAAAAAGAAAAAGGAAACAAATAAAGTCTAGGCACTTTATAAAAACAAAGAAAAAGAATTCAATATCATGATTTAATTTAAAAATATTAGATCCACAAAACAAAAGGCAAAAGTCGCTTTGTAAGCGAAACTAGTTTGATAGTACCAAATTGGAGACGACGATGTTTCATGAACTATCCTCGTAAGTCGTAACTCAGAGGTACGCTCTCACTACTCAATAATTTACTTTCTTTCAATCTTTTTTATTTTTATTTTTTTTGTTGTTTTTGTTTACTTTGAAATACGTAGCCGTTGTTTGACTTTTCCGGTTTCATATTCTATCCAGTAAAATTTTTTTTTTTTGATTGTGGAAAGTTCTTGGTTTGGTCATTAATGGGTCCTACAAGTTCAGATCTTTGAAAAAAAATGCGGTTTCTTTGGCGCGAAAATCAGTCGTTCGGGTTGTAATTTGCTGTCAATTTGGGATTCATGGCTGTTCTAATGATCTCTCTAGGGTTTGTTCGCGAGTTCCTGCGATTTTCCGTTTTTCTGTCGCAGTTTCTCACAAATAAATCTCCGATTTCTTTATCTTTTTTCCTTGTGTTTCACACTTTCACAGTCCATTTCGGCTGTTTTTGTAGCCATTTGGCAAATTTGGTATTTAATTATGTATATATTGCTGAGTCTTTATTGGCAGAAGCTTATAAAAAAAGACTTATCTTTCTCTTGTTTGAAATTTGCATATATTGGGGGAAACTTAGCCGAGTCTTCTTATCTTTTGAGGCGGTTACGGGAATGAGTCGTGTTTGAAGCCACTTCTTTGGTCTAAGCCAAAAAAAGAAACAATCTTTTTATTGGTAACTTCACATATATTTCAGAGCATATTCATACCATTGGGTTCTTGGTGTTTGTTTTGTACGCATCGATTTGCATTGATTTGGTTGATTTGAGAAACAGAGGAAGTGGTTTTTGTGTTTTTCTTTTCCTTTTTTTTTTTTTGCTGAAGAGGGATTTTGTGTTTAGAATTGTGTTTTTGTGAAGAGAATTGAGTTTTGATGGGTGGAAGTAGTTCAAGGGAGGATAGTTGGAGGAGGAATTCGTCCCGTCGTGCGAGTTCTTCTGCTTCTTCGTGGAGTGAGTATCCGCATGGTCAAGAGAGTCATCATAGCTATGCACCTCACCAACAATATCGTTATGCACCCCAACAATATCCCTATGCACCCCAGCAATCTTTTTCGTCTGCACCCCAACAATCTTACGGCTATGGGTCCTCGCAGTACCATGATTCGCCACCATCGCAGGACCAGCGTGGCAGCCATGCCGCAGATGGTAGGAGGGGGTTGGACAGGAGATACTCAAGAATTGCTGATAATTACAATTCCCTGGACGAGGTGATTATGATATGCCAATATTTGTTGTATGATTGTGATTGATGGTTCCCCTTTTTCTTCTTGGCTATGGCAATAGTCTGAGGACTATATACTTCGGGAATTCTCATGATACTCATGAAATGCTTGAAGGAATATTCGACCCTTTTAGAATGTGGTGCTTTTTTTTATTTTAATATTTTCAATAAAATTTAACAAAATATCTTGCAACTTTTAACAATTGTGGGATTATTTACTAGGATTGACTTTTGTCAGATTATAACTTTACAAATTATCTGACCAAGTGGAAGGGTAGTGGGGGTGGTATGTGTCTTAGGTACAAATATTGTGGACCAAAATTTGTGAAAACGTCTAAGTGACAATTAGTCTTAAAGTTCCCATTGCAAGGGTTGATATACATGTGGGCATGCATACGTTTGGTAAGAGAGAAAATAGTAATGAAAGAAGACATATGATGTGGAAAATAGAGAGGAAGGAGAGGGCCTTTATCTTTTTGAATTTGATATGGATAATGGATTCCCTCCTCGAATCTTTCCAAAATTATTGAGGTGCTTTCAAGGATTTAAAATCCCGCATCAATTCATTCCCTTCTCTTTTTTCTCCTACCAAATCATCACGGGTACCAAAATCCTTTTACTTATCCCCTCACCCCTCTCCCCCCTTCCACTTTTCCCTCCTATCAAACAAACTCTAATGGTAGTTTTACTTCTTTGTAGGTGACTGCAGCTCTTGCAAATGCAGGGCTTGAGTCTTCCAATCTTATTGTTGGTATTGATTTTACGAAGAGCAATGAGTGGACAGGTAAAGCTTTAAACTCTTTTAAACGGGTGAAATTATTTTTTTTCATTTTGAATGGGACACGCTGAACTTTTGTTTCTTAAATAGGTGCAAAGTCATTCAACAGAAAAAGCTTACATCACATTGGAGAAAGTCGGAATCCCTATGAACAAGCAATATCCATTATTGGGAAAACCTTGGCTGCTTTTGATGAAGATAACTTAATTCCTTGTCTTGGATTTGGAGATGGTACTTTAAAGCATTTCTCTTTCTGTTCTTCTTAAGGTTTTTGTGTGTTTGATTTGGGATAATAAACAGTACCTGTATCCCTTGACAGCTTCAACACATGATCAAGATGTCTTCAGCTTTTATCCTGATGAGAGATTTTGCAATGGATTTGAGGACGTCTTGAGTCGCTACAGGGAGATTGTTCCTCATCTACGACTTGCAGGTTGGATTTGACTTTACTATCATGTCGTTGTTTGAGATACTTATCCATATTTAGCTAATTTTTTCTTATACGATGCTTATCATTCTATATCAGGACCCACTTCATTTGCACCGATAATCGAAATGGCCATGACCATTGTTGAGCAGAGTGGTGGTCAGTACCACGTTCTAGTGATAATTGCGGATGGTCAGGTATTTTGTCTTCACTTGGGCATGATCTAGTGGATTAGTCAGTGTATGTCGATTATATCAGAGTTTTTTCCCGTAGTATGCTAGTTCTACAATATGCATTGATGGAAAAATTTTCACCAACAGTTCTATACTGATAGTGATATCAACTTTTTTTATTATTATTTTATTTTTAATCTTAACTACTAGTTAGAATAACCCTTCTACATAATGATGCCCTTTTTAGAGTCTTATCCTCAAGTCTCCTGAATTGTTTGTATTGTGTAAAATGATTATTTTCTAAGGTGACTAGAAGTGTTGATACTGAGCGTGGAAAGCTAAGCCCACAGGAGCAAAAAACTGTCAATGCCATTGTTGAAGCTAGGTGAGTGTGGGTGAATTTTTTTTCCCCCCTTGTTGTGATCTTCTCTCTTTTTTCTTTTTAGCATTGGTTGTCTAATGCGCTTTGTCATTGCAGTAACTTCCCCCTTTCAATAATATTAGTTGGAGTTGGAGATGGACCATGGGATATGATGAAGGAATTTGATGACAATATCCCTGCTCGGGCTTTCGATAATTTCCAAGTAAGTGCTTTGATGAATGCATCTCGCCTTATGCTTGCTTGTGACTCTTGTATATCATTAGCTCAATTGCTTAATACAAAGACACCTTACCTTTTCTTTTTTTTGTTTTCTAGTTTGTGAACTTCACAGAAATAATGTCAAAGAATGTGGCCCCATCACGAAAAGAGACTGAATTTGCTCTATCAGCGTTAATGGAAATTCCTTCTCAGTATAAAGCAACAATAGAGCTCAACATACTGGGGTACAGGCTGCACCTCTCTCTGTTTTTCCTTGATAAATACTTTTGATTTCTTCATTAAAAAAATCCCAACAATTTTAACACTCTACTTTATCGAGCAGGAGTCAAAAGGGAAAATCACCCCATAGGGTTCCTCTCCCTCCACCTGCATATGGCGCGTCATCTTTTAGTAGCTCTAAACCTTCTCATTTTACTAGTTTCAAGCCTAGTGTACCAAGTGTTCCTGCTTATCACGAAGAAAGCACCTCTGTCGGCTCAGCTCCACCTGCTCCCACTTCTACCTATGATAACCAGGTACTTTCAACTTCTAGATGGATCAATATAAGTCTTGCTTTCCACAAATTTCTATTACAAATTCTCTATTATAGACAGCTCTTAGAGATGAAAAATAAGGGAAATAGGATAATCCAGAGTCCAACTTGACTATTTTGTTTTAAATAAGAAAGTTACATTTTTGGGATTTTTTTTTTAAATTTTATTCAAGTTCTTCTTATCTTGTCATAAAAGCCAACCTTTTAGGTTTGAAGGATTCAGACGTGCCCACCGCTATAATAGCATGTATTATGCTTGGTGTGGGCCATTTGGTGTATTTATGCTCCAGGATTTTTTGTTTTTCTGTTCAATATTTGCGAGCAATCATTCATGGTTGGCCTTAATTTCTTTAATAGTAGCAAAGTCTTTCGATAATAACTGATAACTGGAATTACTTGATGGTGATAACCAACCTAGCATACCTTAAGAAGGGATTTGTTCATTAGGCTTGAAATTGTTTCTGTCAACGGTCACATTTCACGTTGGTTAAAACACGTACAAATATTACGCTATTATGGCCTCATAATTGTAATTTTGTGTGTTCGCCTATGAATGGAGTTTAACATCTTGCGTGGCCTTTAACAGGTTTGCCCCATCTGCCTAAGCAATCCAAAGGACATGGCCTTCGGTTGTGGGCATCAGGTACGTAATTCTGTTTTCATTTATGTTCTATGATTAATTTTGGAGATTACATGTGAAGCTAGTGCTAACATAGTGAAACCCTCCCCATAAATCCTCTTTTTTTGCGACAGACATGCTGTGAATGTGGAAGAGACCTTGAGACATGCCCAATATGTCGAAGCCCTGTCAATACGAGAATAAAACTTTACTAAGCAGCTTCTTTCTCGCCTTGGTTTGTAGTTTTCGTCTTTCCTACCCCAACATTCTTTTTTAAATTCGTTAATATGTTATGTGATTATAAATGAGTACTAGCTAGGTCTGGCTGTAAGTTAGTTGCTGCCTCCGAGCTTGCGTCATGGATGTGGGAAAGAATGTTAGCAGAAGAAAATGGTGTTAGCAAATAAAGTTACTTCCTCTGTACATTTTTTGTAATTGGATTCGTGTTTTATAAAATTTATTTGTAAGGATGCTGGTGAAAAATGTTTTGCTTATACCAGTAGCCAAACGAAGTTTATTTATTCGATGGCGTAACCGTGTAGGTTTGGATACCTGACCTCATTTGCTTGTAGTTGTTGACAATCTGTTAGTTCTATGGTTGAGTATTTTTGCAAGTCATGAATGAAATTGATAATATGCTGAATTCAGACGCTAAATCTTGTGCGCTATTAATTTACGTCACGAGTCTGAATTTTAGTCTCTTATTATTGATTAATACTATTTTGATTAAAAAAACATATTAATGAAGAGTAAAGAGTACAGAATCATCAGACTCATATACGTAAAGAGAGTATTTATCTTTTTTTTCCTAATATGTTCTGAAAAAGGTGAGCTTGAAATCACATATAGATGAATTATTTTGGGGTCCAACTGGAATTATCAATATCTAATCCTGCCAATATTTATCCATACAGGGAGCCTTTGAATTAAAAAAAAAAAAAATGTAGAGAGGCCCCATTTTGTTTTTGCATGATGACCATGTGCATCCATTTTCTTCGTGTCTGGCTTAGCTTAGTCACCTTAGTGGGCAGAGGTATGGCCACATAGAGGTGGGGTCTTTTTTCAATGAGAAATTTGAGATGAACTTTTAAATTTGATGAGAATCTTGCAATTGGATAAAAAAAAACATGCTCTATTAGTAGGGTATAGTTCTGAATCTCTCGTTTTTTTGTTTGTTTAATCCAATCCCGTTAAATCGTCATTATTTTTAGTCATATATAATTATATAGTTTAAAATTGTGTCCAATCTATCATACCACAAAATTCTCAGCAACTTCATCGTCTTTATAATGGTGAGAGCTCTCCCAAATACTTTGCTCTACTCGGCGTAAGATGACTCCGTCACTGCCTGAAGTTAATTGTGTTTATAAAGGCGAGATCTCTTAGTCTCACCGAACAGCGTTAGGTCTGCATACTATGAGAACCAAACTCAATTTATATTGGTCCTTCGGTTGAGGAATGAGGATTTATGATTGACCAGAGAACCAAGGACTGATCTGACCATTTTTTTATCAGATCTGTCGGTGGAAATGGGTTCAGATATTTTGCTTTCCTCACTGGCTAGTCCTAATTCTTTCACTTGCAAATCAGAAAACGAGTGAACAATAAATAGTTGGAAGAGTAGAGAGATCAAATAAGATGGGTTTCTAGGGAACAGATTAATTACAAGTATAGTCAATTTTAAAAAATTCTAGCAGGGTGTCTAAATCTACAGCCGTTGGGATAAAGAGTCTTAATTGTATGTCTAGCGATAATTTTACACCCATTGTAAAGTTAGAGATGTCAATCGTGTCGTGTCGTGCCGGTCCAGTCCATAATCAGTTAGATTCATGCGTGTTTTGTGCTGTGTTTAGCCTGACCTATTGAAACTTCGTGCTCGTGTTCGTGCCAACCCAATATTTAAAATCATATGCCCAACCCGGTCTATGGGCCCAGCTCGGCCCATAGGCCCAGGCCCATTCATGCTTGTGCTCGTGCCTTTATCATGCTTAGCACAATGGATCTTTGGGCTAGCCCATTGAACCATTGAGTCATTTGAAACTATTTTTTTTTAACAATTTTCAAATAAAAAATAATTTAAATAAAAATATAATTTCATATGCTATTTGTAAGTATAAAAAAAAATTCCATGCCATCATTATCATAGTACTAATGAAACACCTAACATAATTGAACATGTTAAATTATGTTAATTGTGATATATTAATGTGTCTAATATTGATTTTTCTTAATTAATCATGTCATTAAAAATTTGAGATGAACTTTTAAATTTGATGAGAATCTTGCACTTGGATTAAAAAAAAAATGCTCTATTAGTAGGGTATAGTTCCGAATCTCTCGGTTTTTTTTTGTTTAATCCAATCCCGTTAAATCGTGATTATATTTAGTCATATAATTATATAGTTTAAAATTGTGTCCAATCTATCGTACCACAAAATTCTCAGTAAATTAATCGTCTTTATAATGGCGAGAACTCTCCCAAATACTTGCTCCACTCAGCCTAAGCTGGCTCCGTCACTGCCTGAAATTAATTGTGTTTATAAAGGTGAGAGCTCTCAGTCTCACTGAACAGCGTTAGGTCTGCATACTATGAGAACTACACTCAATTTATATTGGTCCTTCGGATGAACAATGAGGATTTATGATCGGCCAGAGAACTAAGGATTGACCTGACCATTTTTTTATCAGATTTGTCAATGGAAATGGGTTCAGATATTTTGCTGTCCTCACTGGCTAGTCCTAATTCTTGCACTTGCAAAACAGAAAACGAGTGAACAATAAATAGTTGGAAGAGTAGAGAGATCAAATAAGATGGGTTTCTAGGGAACGGATTAATTACAAGTATAGTTAATTTAAAAAAAAAAATTATCCCAATTACGTGGATAGTGCTGTTAAAGTATAAAACTATTTTTGGCCCACCTCCTAATAGCTTAAGCTTTTGGGATGGATTGGTAAACTAATATGATATCAGAACGGGAGGTCCTGAGTTCAAACTCCCGTAATTGCACTCTTTATCCTCATTTAAATTGTCATCACGTGTTGGGTCTTTAATATATCTCGGGCTTAAATATTCACGTGTTGAGCTTTCTAATTAATTCGCCCATATGTGAGGGGGTGTTAAAGTATAAAATTATTGTTGGCCTACTTTCTAATAGCTTAAGTTTTTGTGATAGATTGGTAAACTAACAAGTGCATGTGACATGCAATTGCTTCTTTCATGACCAACTGGAGGTTCATAATTAATGGTTTTGGTGCATGATTTTACTTTCTTAGCTCCAACCCATTAATTTTTTTTTTCGTTGGTGAGATAGTTGACGTGTTTCTTAATAATCTTTATGAAAGGTTTCAAAGCTACACACGTAGATTATATTATTATTGGTCATCATCAAGGCTTGACTGTTGTCAATCGCTTTCCACTTTACCAAAGAAACCTCGATATATTTATTTCTCAAATAACGCTAGCCACTTTATTTACTTGTTCACGAGGGGGGGAAAAAAGTTCTGAAGGGCTATTACCGTTGTTTGTCCTTTGAACTGTGATTATTATATAATTTTTGGTCCTGGAGATTTTTCTTTTGATAGAGTACTGCTTAAACTTTGATTGTGGGATAATTTTAGTCATTGACATTAGAGTCCACAAAAACTTTCTTAAATTTAATAGAGATAAACACCTCCTAATTATATAATAATTTAGGGATAAAATTTAAATTATATGAAACAAATGGCACAAAAGTCTTAGAAAAAGAATTGCATTAAATACAAAATATTTCCTTTCCCTGCCGAAAAAAGAAATAAGACCAACCCTTTTTAAGACCCCTTTTTGTCTCGGTCGAATACGTGTTATCAAATTATAATTTAAAGACAAACAGATCATCAGAACATGACTACTTTGCTACGATGGCAGTGATCCCGGATGGATTCACTTGTTACATTTATTGCACTTGACAACTGTTCTCTTAACCAACTTGGTCATATATATTTATGTTGTTCGACAAGAAAACCAACCACTCTGTGTATAACCAAGCATAGGATTCTCTATTCTCTCTCTCCATACTTCTCTTCTTTCTCTCTCTCTCTCTCTTCCCTTGTCATTCCTAAAATCACAACCCCATTTCTGCCATTGAAATGTCCTCAAGCGTCAAGGTTCCTTACCAGCGACTCAGAGAAGAAAGTGGCCACTACCTTGATGATATTGACGAATGCCAATTGAGGGAATATTATGAGAAGACCTTGGCAAGGTCAAGGACTTGGTACAGGTTTAGAAAAGTGCCCATAAGGAGGAGATTCAAGCTCAAAATCCCAAGCATAACAAGGTTACTAAGGAGGAAAACCAAGTTGGTGTCTTCCATTAGAGTTTCTTTCGCAAGTGTCGTTAAGAGACTAAAGCAAAGCCAGTCTCATCTTGGCGATCTCTTTGCTGGGAACTACTTGTTCTTGCAAGTCAATCCTACTACCTCCTTCAAGTGCCATAACAAGGCTTCTCATGACCTGAAATATGGCTTGTCATCGAGAAGGTATTATCTTCCAAAATTTGCTAATTGAATATGGATCACATATATATATATATATATGTATGTATGTATCTCGGGATTTGTCCTGTATTTTATGTTTTCTATGGTTTTTTTTTTTTTTTTGGGGATGTGTTTTTACCTAAACAATTAGCTAGAAATGGACTGTAGTTCTTGCATAATTTATAGCTAGCTGGCTACGTGATTTGTTTTGGTTTCCATATTCTTGGTTGTAAGAAAGCAATAAGCATTATCAACAACCAAGTTTCAGAATCTTGTATCTCAAATCAAACAAAAATATTTCAATAGAAAACAATTCTAGCAGGGTGTCTAAATCTACAGCAGTTGGGATAAAAAGTCTTAATTGTATGTCTAGCGATAAGAGATGTCAATCGTGCCGTGCCGTGTCCATAATCATTTAGGCTCATGTGTGCTCTGTGCTGTGCTTAGCCTGGCCTATTGAAACTTTGTGCTCGTGCTCGTGCCGACCTAATATTTAAATCATATGCCCAACCTGGCCTATGAGCCCAGCTTGGCCCATAGGCCCAGGTCTATTCATGCTCGTGCTCGTGCCTTTATCGTGCTTAGCACAATGGATCTTTGCCTTTAAAATTATTTTTTTAACAATTTTCAGATAAAACATAATTCAAATAAAAATATAATTTCATATGCTATTACTAAGTATAAAAAAAAAATTCGATGCCATCATTACCGTAAGTACTAATTTATAAATAAATTTTTTATTTTATTTAAATTAATAAGGGATAACAAATTAATGCTAACGAAAAATTATTTGTAACAATAATTTTTATATTTGTTTAGAGATATGTAATAAGGGATAACAAATTAATAAGGGATAATTTTTATATTTAAATTAATAAGGGATAACAAATTAATGCTAACCAAAAAATATTTGTAACTACAATTTTTATATTTGTTTAGAGATATGTAATAATAACGAAAAATTATTAATAAAAAAATTTATATTTATCATGCCTGTCCATCGTATTCAATGGGCCCGTGCTTGTTGTCGTGTCAAGCCCACGTGCCAAAAACTATGAGCCCAACACGACCCACCACCTCGCGCCATGCTTAACCCAACCCATTATAATCTCCTACTGTGCCGTTTCTGGCTCAAAAATTTTCGTGTTGTGCTATTATGCTTTATGGGTGGCCCAACTCAATTGACATCTCTATTTTAAAGTTGAACATTGAGCTTGAAAGTCCCGGTTAAAAATGTATAGATGAGTGTTTCAATTTTGACAAGTTTCCTTATTTCTCCAATTATATTTTTTTTTCTTTGAGAAAATTTTAGAATTTAACTTTAAGAGTGCACATATCTAGATTTTTACTTCTCATTATTGATTAATACTCTTTTACTAGTATAATAATTTAACTAAAAATATTATTAATCAAGGAATAAAATCTCACTTATATATTTTTAAGGAGTAATTGTCTCCTTTCTCTTATTTCTTTTCTCATGTGGACTAATTTAGAAGTATTGACTTGCGGCAAGTATAGCATATCACGTGGCATAATTAGCCATCAATTGAAAGCTGAGATTACTATGTATTAACCCTTATCTCATAACAGCATGAGCAGACGTAATTTGACACTTCGGAGGTGCCAAGTTTGAATTTGAGAAATTTATGCTAATCAGCAATTGAATCACTGTCGTATTGGTAAAAAAAAAAAAAAAAAAAAAAAAAAAAAAAAAAAAAAAAAAAAAAAAAGAGCAGTTCTTTGGTATTACAAGTAGTGCACAAGTATGATAAGAACAAAGAGTGCACATCAGTTGCTACTTGGCAAGCTTCAAGGAAAGTGTGTATCACAAAAAGGACAGCCTTTTGAGTCCTTCTCATATAGGGGTGGCTCAATCAGAGCTGGTAGAAGCCCTCGCGGCAGGGAAGTAGAATTCACCTCTCGTAAAATAACGAAATCTGATAGGATTGGACACAAGACTATATGACTATGTCATGTCTAAAAAAAGAGGAATGCGTTCTTAAAGAAATGCCACTAGTAGTAATAAGGAGGCTTAATAATCATTTGAAAGTTGTGATGGATTGTTTGCTTCAAAGTGTCTATATACTGAGGGCTCTTGAAACTATATCGGGGATATAGACCCCAAAAACTCTTGTTTTAATGCCCAAAGATAGGCCTTATCGAGCCTTTGAGCGAACTATTCATTGCTGTCTTGCCCCAACGATGGGCATTTGGTTCGTGTCGTGCTATTACTTATGGGGCGGATTCGTTCACATCGGATTTACTACCCGCAGGTGCTATCTTTTCTTTGTATTTATGGAAAAAGTGACTGTTTTTGGCTAGGTGGACATTAGCAAGTGGGACTAAACGACAGCCAATTAATAACTACAGTAGTTTGAGTAGCAAAAATAAATACAGTAGTTGGACAGTTGGAGGGTGGGGGTTGGATAAATCGCAAAATCTTAATGCAAATAATTAGCCTTTAACTAGCAAAAATAAATAAAATAGCCTTTGTACTAGCAGTTCACTAATGAAAGTTCTAAACCGGTTAATTTGGTGAAATTTAAGACCTGGGATGAGATCAACCCGATGCCAACGCGAAAACGACATAAAGGTTAATAAACGACAACTAATAAAAACGACATTGAATTTCTGCAACGGCACATGCACAAATAAATGACATGAAATTGAAAACGATGACACTAAACAGAAAACTACAATGATGCGAATAGAGATTGCTGTGTGGGGACGACAGCCACTAGAAGGCAAAGCTTTATAAACGGCATAGAAAGAATTAAGCGACAATAATTGAAAAACGACATAGCATGAGAAACGACGAAGACAGAGATTTTTGACTTTACAAAACCGAGCAAAACCCGAAAACAAATTAATGGACGACTAATGTAAGAAGAAATAAAGATCGATAAACGATAATAACGCTAAATATGATATGATAAAGAAACTTAAGAAATCGACAAATTAGAAGTTATAACTGACATAAAAATTGATAAACTAGACAAATAGGGAAAAAAAAAGGGGGACATGAAAACGACATAGAAATTAAGGAATAAACGAAATAAAGATAAGTAAGATGACAATTTAAACAAGGAAAATTACAATCTATAACTCTGTGTTTTATTAATGTAATTTTTTCTTAGTACCCTTAAAAAGTAGAGAACATTACCTAATATACCGCGACAATCCAATAACACTCTTTGTAGGATATATTCCCTTCGTTAGGTTTGTCTTATAATTTAAATGTTTTATAGATAAATCAAATGGGAACTTAATCATCGATTGTTATATATATTAACAAAAAGAAAAGATAGTTCATGCAATTACTTGGAGTCATAACGTTCATCTCTATTCAATGGTTTTGACTTTGTATTTATATATGACAATTAAAAGGAGAGCTTATTATAAATCCGATTTTAAATATACAAAATTTATTGGCAGATCCTAACAAAGAAATGTGCATAATAAACACCCAAAAATCATCAACGTAATCCTAAAAAACAGGTAAGACATCTCATATGTCCCCATTTAGATTACACCAGTGACGACCATGTTGTAGACATTCATTCCATAACTAGTTCTGAATTTGTCCTTGTCTTGCTCGAGCCGCTCCAGGAGCTCTTGGTAGAAACGACTATTTGTGCTCTGCAGATACATAGAGAATAATCGCAACACTAGTTAGAGATTAATTAAATAAAGACTGACTAATTAATCTAACAGTTAAACAATAAATAAAACTCATCCAAATATATATATATATATACATATGTGTATATATAATATGTACCTTGCCTATTTGTAGAGCTCTTTTTATGACGTAATTTCCATATTGGTCACCAGCAATTTGCCAGAGCTTGTCAAAACTAACCAACTCTTCAAGTACGTCTTTCGTTCCAAAAGTCATGAGGCATTTCTCTATGACGTGGCTTGCAGATTTCTGTTTAGAGAGATTCACGTAGTTACCTTTTAATGTTGAGCATACCATGCTAGTGAAAATCAGGTGTCTCAGTTTCAAAACGCGTTGTAGAACATAGTTCCGGAAATACAATTCAAATTTATTAACACAAATTAATATCCAATATTATGTTGGACTTGGCTGTAGTCCCCCACTTTGTAAATGATGAACCTATCTCCTATGTGTTATCGTAACCGGTTGAAGGGCTAGTGTAATTCTCTTGTATTGAGTTACAACAGTTACTATTTTGAAAATTAGAATCTATTTCTAAGCATATGACAATATATGAATAGTATTGAAAGGCATATTAATAAACGTCTGTCGTTTTTAATATAAATAATAATATGCATATCTATCATTTTTACTATCAATAATCAGTCATTCCATCGTAACCGACTGTTTTTTTAAGATGTGAATAATATTGCCGTGAAACATTATATTTGTCATTTTTTTTATAGGCACATATGTTCATGCATGAATATTTGTATGGAGCAGTGCATGATAGCCGTTTATTGCCATATGCTTAAAAATGACTTTTGATTCCCAAAATGATAATTGTTACAACTCAATATAAGAGAATTGCGCCACTCTTTCAACTTGTTACGATGGAGAAATCTCTCCCATATAAGTGTTGGAGGCCATAGAAAAGGCCTATTATGTTAAACAAAAAATGTAGCTGTGCAATGTTAATTGTTGGGTTTAAATAAAGTTATACTGTTATATATATACAAACCCTGAAGGATCTTGAGAAAGAAAAACTGCATGAGTAGAGATTATTTCAAGGAGTCGAGTTCTGTGTAGGTCTCTTATAACGTCGATGCTTTTGTTCAAAGCGAAGCATCCCTTTACATATGTGGTTAGTCTGAGGCAGTTCTTTATGGTTTCTTCATATAATATCTACAATAATTGATATAAACACAAGTAATTAATTACCTGATAAAACTATGGTAGTACATATCAAACTAACCTTATTACGTTATATTCAAATATAGAGTACTAGAGTTACACTTACTTGATTTTGACTAGCGTTAAGGATACCAAGACACTGCAAGATAACATTTGATGCGATACGATCGCTCATCAATTCAACAAATTTACTGGATAAAATTGATGTAATTTCATAAAC